CCCCCAGAACTGAATTTGGGTCTCCCATGTGGCTTCCAGCCTCCCAAGCAAACCTCCATGCAGTGGTGCTACCTGCATCTGGGCCCATGTTGCCTCTTCTTAAAGGTGCCTGGCACATAGTAGGCTGCCAAGTAATATTAGTTGAGAAGTGGTAGAAATGAATAATAAGGCACCGGGAAAGTCATGACATGTTTCCTGTGCAAAATTGCGTCACGGCTTTCCTGATGAACCCAGTGTTTAGCATTCTTTTCATAGTACTACTGGGATGTAGGTTTTGGATCTTTTTCTCTTTTAAAGATGAGTAGAGGGAACCAGCAGTTAGCGTAATGGCTATGTCGCTGGACTCCCACATAGTCGACCGCGGATTGTGTCCTGGACCCGGTGGCTTAAAACTCACGCCGGGCGCGTGTACGTGCGTGCCCAAGATCCCGAGAGGAGAATGGAGGAGAAGGGATTGCGGCGTGGCCATCCCCCCTGGGGGGTGATTTCTCGCTTTCTGTCTCTATGTCTCTCTCTGTCTGGCGAGCGCACGCGCCCTACAGTGAAAATCTCTCCAAAAAAAAAAAAAGATGAGTAGATAGCTGTCACATAGGCTAATTAACATGCACATGTATATTAGTTTTTTTTTCAGGTTGTTATAGGGAGAGTGCATGTATGCGTGCGCAAGATAGTGAGCGAGCGAGAGAGAGAGAAACTGAAAATTCACCCCTTCAGCGGGGAGATGGCCATGCTACAATCCCATCTCCTCCAGTCTCTCTTGGGATGGGCATGCATGCATACACACCCAACATGATATTTTTTTTTAAATCTGGAAAGGATTATTTTTTAAAAAATTACTTAATTATTATTATTATTTTAGATTTGACTAGAGAGAGAGAGAAAGCAAGCTGCCGGGTCTGGGACTTGAACTATGGTCGACCATATGGGAGTCCAGTGCCTATAACCACCATGCTACCTGCTGGCCCCCACAGCATGATTTTTAAATGGCCACCAGGTCTGGGACTTGAACCATGGAGTTAGCCACGTGAGATCCAGCTGCCTTAACCTCCATGCCACCTGCTGGCCTTGTGCGTATTTGGTTTTAATTGGTCAATTGATTTGAAAGATTTTTCAGTGACTGCCTCTGCCTTGGGACTAGGTAGACTGCGATTCAGACTGTCAGTCTGACTAATGTGAAGGCAAGGACATGATCAGGTGGGTGCGTGATCAGGTGCCCGGTGCAGGTAAGGAGATAGTCTGCAGGAGGCTTGGATTAGAGCAGGAAACCCACTGGTGGACTGTCGCCAGGCTGGGCTGCTCCAGAGGAGGGAAGTCCAGAGGAGAGTAGCTGTCTGGTCCAAGAACAAGGACTGGTGCCTGGTTGGCTGTGGGGCATGAGAGATGGCACCACATGCTATTATGGGACTGTCAAAGGAAGACTCAGACTTGAAAGAATTTGAACAAAAAAGGAAAAAGGTTACCTGCAACAAGTACAAGACTTCAGAAAAATGGCTTTGCAATGAAAACCAAACCCAACCAAACCACAGTTATTTACATTGAGGAGGCTGGTAAATGACAAGGTTGGCAAGTACGGCCTTCGTGGTCACAGAGCTGCAGCTTTTTCAGGGATTACCCTGATCACAGAGGTGGTGACACACCTTTTCACATCAGCATAGCCAGACTGGGGAGTAACATGAATCATTTTAGCTAGGGGGTTCAGGTAGATTGTATTCCATGTTTCATGTCTTTTGTGCTGACCCAGGCAGGATGACCTTGTTATCTTGGTCTGTCCCAAGGAGCAGAGTGCATATATGTGAAGCGTGTGTTTTTGCTTCAGCTTCGTACTAGTCAGCCTGCAAGATTGATGATCTCAGTTCTGTCCTGTAGGGTCTGGGGTGCTCCTGGCATCCATGGAGGAAGCTGTGAGTGAGGAGTGTAGAAGATGGGGCCAGAGCTTGCACTGTGGAGAGCACCATGGCGGGGAGCCTGGAGAGAGAGAGATGAGGAGAGCCTTCCAGGAGCTGAGACATAGGAGCTGGTGAAGAAGCTGAGGAGCAGTGGCTTGAGGCTGCTGGGTGAATCTGAAAGCTGAGGAAGAATATCAAGAGTGTCAAGCAGGGGACCAGCAGGTGGCATGATGGCTATGTTGCTGAACTCCCAATGTAGTCGACTGTGGTTTGAGTCCCGGACCTGGTGGCTTAAAACTCAAGCTAGGCACATGTGTGTGTGTGCCCAAAATCCCAAGAGGAGAATGGAGGAAAAGGGACTGCGGTGTGTCCATCCCCCTGGAGGGTGATTTCTTGCTTTATGTCTCTGTTTTTTTTGTCTCTCCAGTGACTGCATGTTCCCTTTAGCAAAAAACTCTCTCAAAAAAACAGACTGCGGTGTGTCCATCCCCCTGGAGGGTGATTTCTTGCTTTATGTCTCTGTTTCTCTCTGTCTCTCCAGTGACTGCACGTTCCCTTTAGCAAAAAACTCTCTCAAAAAACAGCGTCAAGCAGTGGCTGCAATACAGACCAGCAGGTGGCACAGAGGTTAAGGCAACTTGATCCCACAGGGCTGACTACGCAGTTGAGCCCCAGACCCAGTGGCTTGAAAACATGCTTGATCCGTGTGCATGTATCCTCACAGTCCTGAGAGGAGAATCGAGGAGGAATTGCAACATGGCTATCCCTCCAACGGCCCTTTCCCATTTTCCCCCTTTGTTTCTCTGTCTCTGTCCCCTGGGAGCACACGTGTCCTAAAATAAACAACAACAAAAAACGAGAGAGAGAGAGAGAGAGAGAGAGGAAGTAGCCACAACTGTTACCTGTCTCAGAGAGATCTAGAAAGACAAACTCTCCTTTTGGTTGGTAATTGACAATTCTCCCTTTTGTCAGAAAAAATGAACTCCTGAGAATAGTTTTAGAAGATATTAAAGAATATGTTAGCGTGCTTGAAGCAGTGTGGAATAGGTACCCAAAAGACAGAACAGTGGATTACAAAGTGCAGGAGCAAATCCAAAGTAAGTGAAACAATTTAGCATATTGCAATAACACGTATAAGCCCTAGGAAAGTAAAATAAAATGCTGATTCCTGTGAGTACGTTAAAACCAAGATCTGGGGGCTAGACAGTGGCGCAGCAGTAAAACCCGATGTTCTGCAAAGCAGACCCACTTGGAAAGGTTCCCTGTTTGCGTCTAAAGACCTCCCTGAGTACACCAGGCACATGCGTGCTCATGACCTGGGCCTGGTGAAGCTGGGGGTGGATCATGGCTTTAGGACCCCTTTGGGAGTGCCATTTCTTTGTTTCTTTCTGTCTGTCTCACTCGTGGAAGAAATGAGTTTTGTTTTTTTTTTAATTAAAAAAAAATTCCGCCTTTGGAAAAAGAAAAAGGCGGGGTTGTGGATGGAGGTGACAGGAAGTCTGCAAGTTCTTCTCCTTGTCGTAGGGAACAGCTACTAGGACATGTGTTACCTTCCCAGGCCCTCGGTGGGCTCAGGGAGAGCTGTCCTCTGTGGCCCTTTGCTGGGCCCTGGCCAAGCTCTTCTTCCTTGCTTTGTATGCTCCTCCCTCTCCTTGGCCTCTCCTGGGAGCACGGCCTTCCTAAGTCACTCGCATAAGGATCCTCACCTCAGGGCCTCCGTGGGACACTGACCCAGCACAGCTCCGGGGAAGGACCACACTCCTGTAGTAATGTACACTGGGCCGGCCGCTCACGTCCAGCATTGGACTGGCCGGGTTTTGTGGAACACCAGTCCCTTGCTGTACCAGCTTTTTCACCTACTGAGTCGAAAAATATGTTGATGTTTGAATGATAAAAGCATGTTGGAAGGAGTTTACTTTGAACTTGTTTTTACTCCAAGTTGCTGGTATTCATCTAGTGCTTTTTCTTAAAATTTCTCATCGAACTTACTTGACCACTCAGAGTAGGGCAGGGGGTATTGTAGTTGCCATTTTAATGGTATGGAAAATAGTAGTCAGAGGGGTGGTGACGTGCTAAGCTTCACACCCAGAGTTAAAACTCTTCCTGAGATAGAAACAAATTCTTCTTATTTTTTTTTTTTAAATTGCCATAGGGTGTGTAAGCTTGCTGGAGAGACAGAGAAGTGAGAAACCACCCTCCAGGGGAGATGGCCATTATGCAGTCCCTTCCAAGGTTTGAGCTCCAGGAAACTTTGAAGCGGGGAGAGCCAGTGATGATGGGACCCCCTGCACAGGTGGAGGACGTAGGATAGTGCAGTGCAGGAGGCTGATGGGAGGACAGACTCTCAGGTGGGGAGAGGCT